CACCATGTCCTCCTGTGTGCTAGGCAAGTATTTTACAATTAAGCAACACTCCCAACCCTAAAAACATTAATTATTTTTTCCTTATGTGTTTGAGAGAATTTATGAGTGAAGCCACAAAGCCCTTAAGTTTCTTTGTTGGGAATGTTTTGATTTATTTAACTGATTTTGTCCTTGAAGAACTTCATTCCTTCTTCTCTCCATTTTGATAAGCTAAACCTTTCAAGGAATCTAACCATATTATCTGAATGGCAGATTTCCTTGAAAAAGTTATTGACAACATTTTCTTAAGAATGCTTCTAGAACTGTAGTAATTTCTTCTTGTGATGATATTGGTAATGTGCATTTTATTTATTGGTCTTATTAGGAATTTGATTTTATGAGTATTTTTGCAGAATCAAATTTTGGCCTCAGGAATTTTCCTCTATTGTTTCCTATTTCATGTATTCACACTCACTATTGATGCCTTATTTTCACCTGCTTCAGTATTAATTTGCCCTTCTTCTACATACTCTTTAGGTGATGGCTTAGATCAAGGACTTAAAAAACATGTTTCTAGAAAAGACCCAATAATAAATATTTTAGACTTTATGGACAACACAATCTCTATGGGAATGACTCAACTCTGCCATTGTGTGCAAAAACAGCCATAGAAATTACATAATGTGTGACCGTGGCTCTATGACAATAAAATTTTCTTGGCAAAAACAGGCATCAGGCAGGTTTTGTCTTGTGAGCTATTATAGTTTGCTGATTATTATATAGATTATCAGCTTTAATAAGCTCTTCATTTATAATAAATGAAAATATGCCATGAATATTTAGCCATCTTACACAGTTTGATATGTTCTGATTTTTTACTATGATTCAGTTCAAAGAGTTTTCTAAAGGTCCTTGTGATTATCCTATTTCACCCAAGGGTTCCATAGAATTTTTCATGTTACTTCCTAATATTTGTAAATTTTTTTATAATATTCTCATTTAGTTTTTGTTGTTTCTGTTTTTGTAGTAGTACCAGGCATTGAACCCTGAGTCACTTAGCGCCTGAACCACATCCAAAGCCTTTCTTACATTTTATTTTGAGGCAGGATCTCTCTAAGTTGCTTAGGGCCTCAGTAGATTGCTGAGGCTGGCTTTGAAGTGGTGATCCTCCTGAGAATGAATGCCAGGTCCTCCTGTATGCTAGGCAAGCATTTTACTATTAAGCAACAATCCCAACCTCAGCCTCCCAAGTCACTGGATAATATTAACTGCTTGAGAGGTTATGACAAAACTAATCCCCTCAGAACAAATGCTGAATGTCTTATTT